GTGAGCAATGTGGTGAGCTCCTCAAAGATGAGCACGCTTTCTCCGATGGTCCGCCGTAGATGGTGCTTGATAGATTTCACGACGGCCTCCCATTTTCCTCCCATGTGAGGTGTCGCTGGGGGATTAAATTCCCATCGGGTGTTATCTTGCGAGAGCAGGTGAGAAACTCGCTGATGTTCCTGAGTGCACTGGATAAACAGCCTTTTGAGAGCTGCATCCGCGCCGATGAAATTGGTGCCGCAGTCTGAGTGTAAGGTATGAGCGATGCCGCGTCTGGATGAGAAGCGTCGATAGGCGGCAATGAATCCCTCCGTTGAGTAGTCACTGACCGCCTCGAGGTGTACTGCTGAGGTTGAGAAGCAGACAAAAACGCAAATCCAGCCTTTCGTTGTTTTGGCACCTCTTCCTTTCCATGTTTTGACGGTGAGCGGCCCTGCGTAGTCCACACCTGTATGAGTGAACGGTCGTGCCTGCGTAACTCGAGAGAGAGGTAGTTGGCCCATCAATTGATGAGCACGGATCCCCCTCTGACGAGCACACGTGACACACCGCAGGATGTGAGACTTGACAGGAGCCCTCCCGCCTAGAATCCAGTATCGTTGTCGGATGTGTGACAGCGTGAGCTGCGTGCCTCCATGTAGAGTCCGTTGATGGGCGTGAGCGATGATCAATGACGACAGCTGACAGTGACGAGGCAGTATCACCGGATGTGTCGCGTCGAGTGAGAGAGCTGCGTGCGCTAGTCGTCCGCCGACGCGAATGACTCCTTGCGCGTCGATGTACGCAGTCAGTCTGTTGAATGCGTGCGCCTTTGCTAACGGTGAGTCTGCCTGCAATGCCTTGAGCTCGTGCGAGAAGTACGTTGCTTGCGTTGCCTGAATCCAGAAGAGCCTCGCTTTCTCCAAGGTCTCTGGAGAGATGTGTCTGACAGGCAATGAGTCGTGGACTTTCCTCAACCGTGAGACGAATCTGAAACAGAGAGCTGTAATCCTCAATAGTTTAGTGAGGCTTGAGTACCTGTAGATGAGTTCCCATTGGTATTCAGTCCTTGGCGTAACCGTCAGTAGCGAAACGCCTGGGCGAGCTTCTGTTGCACTCATCTCGTCAGAGAGTGCAGGTTGCGACGGCCATGAGTCTGGTGTGAGTATCCATGGTGGTCCCGTCCACCAAAGTGCGTGGTTTTGAAGCTGAGCAGTTGTGAGGCCTCGTGATGCGC